GTGAGAAAGTGACATGTCTTAACTAGAATATCATAGTAGCATTTCAATAAACAAGACTTTATTAGCAAATCTAACTTTGCAAAACACATCAAGCATTAAGTCTTCTTATAGTTTTTACTTTTTTCCAACTCCAATTTTTGCATATATTTAGTTGAGATTAAAAATGTTTGCTGGTCTCTGCAAGTCAGTGTCACATCCATTCATTCAGGACCTCAAGCATAAAAATCCTCATCACCACCCTCACCATCACCATCATCATCATCATCATCAAAATCATACATACGGTTGGAGCTGCCCCTCCTTTTGCCTGAGAGAAATGAAGGTCTGCGTTTAGTGGAAATATCGAGGGTCCTGCAGTGTAGCTATCATACCACAGCAGACCAGGAGAGGGCACCAACTCACACCAAAAGGAAAAAAAAAAAAATTTAAAACACCCCCTCCACAGTAATAACATTGGCAGTGATATCAACAGAACTGAAGAGAAGGGATTACAGTGACCTAAAGAGAAGAAGGGTCTATACACCAGGTGCAGCTTATCAGCTGTATTTCACCAACCCACTTTTCTCAACCAATAGAAGAGACGGACGCTCAGCTTGCTGTCAGTAAATGTGCCGATATTCAGCCAACAGTAACACTTTCTTACAACTCCTGCACAAATATCTCTGAAATATTAAATTATAAGAATGGAGTCTCTGATATCATGAGAATCCATAAACGGGAAAAAAAAAAAAAAAAAAAAGTCAGTGAAGTGTGACCCTACTGTTCAAACTAATCAAAGTACGACATCCTCAGAAATCAGTCGTTATGACTTTGGTAACAGTTGTGCTTCTAAGAGAAGAGAATTACATAGCCTACCCATAGGGTGAAAAAACTAGAATGACAGAAAATAGATAAAAAGAGAGAATGAAGATGATACATGCTAGTACACAGCTCCAAAACTCTGAAAGGCTTGGCTATGGATTTACATCTAACGAGTAAATAACAACAAAAAGTAACCAACAAAATTAACAACTGCTTGTTTACATGACATGTCTCACTGCTGTTTGCTGCGGGATCCCCTGTCCTATCAATAGGCCGATCCTGTGTGTGTGTGTGTGTGTGTGTGTGTGTGTGTGTGTGTGTGTGTGTGTGTGTGTGTGTCTCCCCCACCCGGTAATGTTCTTGTACATAGATTAGCCACAGTAAATCCACTCGGAGGTAAACTCTCTTCCCGGTGCTGAGTGGCTGACGTGTTCTTTAAACCCAGAGCAACCCTGTCACCACAGTAACGCTCCTTGATATATGATTGAACACACACAATGCGCGCACACACACACATACACACTCTTAAGGCTGCAGATGTCTACATTATCCCCCTGTTTTGACTTGCACCTCAGAAACTAACCTAAGCAATTTCTAAGTCACTTCCACTTGACTGAGTGAGAAATGGAAAAACTTGTTCATTAAAGTACACTTGGAAGCTAAATGCATCTCTCATGCAAACTGCGCACACACACACACACACACACACACACACACACACACACACACACACACACACACACACACACACACACACACACACACACACACACACACACACACACACACACACACACACAACCCATCCTCTTCCCTTTGACCCTAGAAACAAACTAAAAAGAAAGAAAAAAATAAACTGTCCCGTGATGCCTCCCTGCATCCATATGTTCAGATAGCATAATACTGATGCCATCACAGTTCATGTCTTTTTTCTTTCTAAACACACACTGGGGGAAACTCAGTGACAAATACATCGACATGTTGCTGTTAGTATCCGAGCATTAACAGTACACCTGCGCGTGAGCACACATATGCAAACAAAAATAGCGTTTGCGCATCTTTTCAAACCCCTGCGGCGAGGGGTTCTTCTCCTTTGATTCAGAAGTGTTCATTGTTTAACCCGTGACCCCTGGAGGTCAAAGTTCACGTGGAGGGTCGGGAAAAGGTCCAATTTGACAGGAAGTGACCAGACGAGAGTTGCGACTGCGTTGTACCGAGAGCTGTGGCAGTGTGTGTCGATAGCGGCTAGCCTCCCTCCCTTAGCTAAGGTGTAACGGTGAGCCCAACAGTCGCAGAAAGAAACCAAAAAAAAAAAAAAAAAGAGAAAAAAATTGTGCAAAATCCCTGCATTGTAACACACACATACACACATACACACACACACACACACAAGTATAAACACATCTGTCCATCTCTCATCCGTACTCCAGTGTGTATAAGTAAAACCCACTGAAATATACACAGTGTAAAAGTACTGAGATGTGCGCTCACTCACTCACTCGCGCACACATACACACACCAACTGACAGGGCTTATAAAAGATTAGCTCTAGTGAAGAGATAAAGATCCTGGTGTTAGTACAGTCACTCCACCACAGAAGAAGAAAGGAGCAATCCTAAGGGAAGAGGTAAGGGAGGGGAGGCGAGTGAATGAGAAGGAGGACAGGGAGGAGAGTGGTTCCCGTCCTGCCTGTGGAAAAAACTGTAAACACCACTGCTACTCTGTAAGTCTGTAGACAGACGCAAACTCTTTGTGGTCATCAACATCATCGTCAGATCGGTATGGAAACACACAGGACTAGGCAGCTTGTAGCACTGAGAGAAAGAGACAGGAGGAAAGGAGGAAAGGAGTGTGTTAAGGTAGGAGGCCGCCAGGCTGGGACTACGACCTGGCTACGAGTCGGTTATAAAAGGGATAAATGGGATAAGACATCTCCTTGTTCATTTTGAAGCTTCTTAAGGAGCCAAAGTGGAAGAGAGAGGAAGAGAGAGGAGGGGGGGTAACTCTGGGGCAAGTCGTCCCCCAGTCACCCCCTCACAAAAGGAAGGGGTTGGTGGTTCCGGTGGGCTGTGTCCCAGCCTGGGGTGGCATGCTCATCAGGGGCTGGGGCATGGACATGGAGGCCGGGATCCCCGCGTTCGCCCCCACACCCCCGACAGCGCCGACCCCCATTCCAGGCATCATGCGGCCCATGGGGGCCATCCCTGCCAGGGGGACCATGGTGATGGGCTGAGCGGGCACGGAGGCGAGGGCCATGGGCTCGGGCATGCCGCCGAAGCCAGCGGGCATGGGGCTGACTCGCATCTGGTTGAGGGTGGGGGGGGCTGGCTGGGTCACTTGGAAGGGGTTGGCGTGGGCTGCTGGAGCTGGAACAGTGCCGCCTGAATAAAGACAGTAAGGGGGCAAAGGGAGAAAGCAAATGTTACTGATCTCACAGTAGCAGTATAGCATAATCAACAGCCAATATAATGATGACTAGAATTAAATGTTCCTAGTTTTGTTTCCACACTATACAACTACTGCTTTAGAAATGATTCATGTCTGCTCTCTGAGTTTACAGCTAGCATAGACAGGACATGGTCAGTGATTCAACATTAAACTGTGCAGATGGGTGTGTCTGCCTGTGTGTTCAGGCATGCACGTGTATGTCCATGTCTTCTGGCATACTCACTACACTTCTTGGCTAGCACACACAGTTATGTAATCAGTGTGAATTAAGCAGTGTGTTTACCCGCTTAAAAAAGCCTGTCTGTACATTGATACAAAAACTCATTTTGTGAACCAACATCTTTGTCTCTTTGTCTCACCGCCTGTTGAAGCTAAGAAAGGGTTGACGATCGGCGCAGGCTGGGCTGGTTTGGTCACCAGAGAGTCCAGGTTGACCAGGGCAGCGTTTGGACCCAGAAAGGACTCTGGAGTCTTTCTAGTTGGGTTCGAGGAAGTAGACATGGAGGTGGGCAGGGGGTCGAAGAGGTCCAGGCTGCTGCTGCTAGCAAGACTGGCTTGGGAGGGGATAGAGGAGGCTACGCCCATATCACCTGGGGAACAAAAAGGAGTAGTATTTCATTGATGAAAAGCTGTTACAGAAAATCTGATTGAGGGAATAAAAACATAATAAAACACTGAGACATCATTAATACAGGAAGACAATATTTCTATTCTTGAACTACAGGGGTATTTATAACTGTGTAATGAGGTACAGCTAACCTCTAACCTGAGTTTGACACGGCTATAGTGTAGTATGCAAAAGGTTTGTTTACATTTTGCATTACAAAAAGGTCTAATAAATATTCAAAAATGCATATTTGCCTATTCTTGCCTTGTGTAAACTCCTGAGTTTCATTCACATTTACCAGGAAATTAAATTTAGGCAATGCAATAAAATGATCAGAAGATGCTTTTATGAGAGGACATTGGAGGCAGACAGCCTGGCTAACCCAGACAGCAATGGAGACCTTCATTAATGCACTCACACACGGACATGCGCAAAGCCAGCATGCCAGCTGCCACACACACAAACACACACACAAGAAAATGTCAAAGACGGAAACTGTCTTCTCAGAACAGAAACTGAGATGTAGCAGAGCCAAAAAAAAAAAGGCCCATGATAAGATCAGACAGGCCTAGTGTGTATTAACGCCCCATAAATCCTGTAGATTTTGGCCAGAACTGATTCAAATACTAACATTTCCACAACTCATCTTGCAGTGTGTCGGTGTTCGTGTCCTCTACACACCGTGTGGCGATAAGGTGGCTTAGTTTCAATAGGGAGTCTCTCTCCCCCCCCTTTCTGGGAAAAGTAAGTTTGTGTGCCTGTGTTTGTGTTCCTTCTCACCTTGTCCTTGACTGTATCAGGAGTGTTTGTGTTGAGCTGGAGCAAAAGTCAGACACCAATGTCACCATGTCACCCTCCCACACCCAGAGATTGCCAAACCACATGGGAAAAACACTCAAGACCTGTGCCAAACTGTTCACTCGAAACCCTCTCACACACACACACCCCAACCTGAATGGAGTTGTGCATGGGTTTTATTCAAACTGGCTGAAGCACCAGACAAGATCTTAAAAGTATCAAAGCAGTTCTAAAGAGGGATTCTATGAACTGGGTGGCCCAGGTCTAATAATGTATTTACAGATAAACACATAAAAGCTGCATCAGATTGCACCACACTGATAATGAGACCAGACCAGAGCAAACAGATATTTTCCACCATTTGATCTGATTGCTGCAGCATTTAATTGCAACTGCAGTGGAAAATCATCAACTGTTTCAAAAAGCATGACTCAAGTGGTTCTGACACTGTCTTTGCTCAGGACTGGTGAGATTCACATACAAAAAGACAAGACATGCGTGTGTCTGTGCCCCCGCAGAAACATTGTATCTGCAGACGGGGCATCAATTCAGACGCTGAGAAAAAAACAACACAGACTCCGTGTCAATAGAGAGACGAAGACATGGGTGAGTACCAGTGGGGACAGAGGAGGAAGAACGCAGGCTGTCAAACTCTGAGAAGTCCTCTTTGGACGTACCGTTGGATGCATTGAAAAGGTCAAAGCTACCTGAAACTGGACAACAAATACAAACACCCACACAAACAATCACAAACACACAGCAGACACACACAAACAAAGACAAATGGAAACAGACAACACAAGTATGAATGAGTATGGATATTTTGGTAAAACAAACAAAATAAGCAAGCATGCAGAGGTGTATAAGCGTGTATACGTATCCCTTTAAGACACAGCTGTTGAGTATCTGAGACATCACTCAGCCATTAGTTAGATATCTTACTAATTTCTTAAAATAGATAGAATTCAAAAAGTGCAAACTTCCAGAAATATGTCTTAGCAACTGATGCCACTGGACGAAACTAAGGAAAAAACGAAGCTATTTTTTTCCTGATGGTCACCTGCGTTGGAAGTTTTGGGGTGGGCGCCTGCAGAGCTCCAGGGGTCAGAGGCGGGAGTGGAGTTTGATGCCCAGGGATCACTGCTCTTCATGGGAGGGACAGAAGGATGAGCGCCCCATGGGTCCACTGGGGCTGCTGGCTTAGGGGCAGACCCTGGGGAGAGGGGAGAGGTTCAGTGTTGAGAAGGACGGGGTAGGGGGTGGACAAAGCATGCAGAATGTGAAGCCAAATTGGTAAAGTAGGAGGAGGGACAGAGGAAGAGAGCAGGAGAGAGGGAAAATAGGTAAAATGATCATATGTATTTGATCTGACCCATTTCAAAACAACTGCTCATCGGTTCCTTCCCCATCTCCACTTCAACATTTACATATCCCTCCCTGCAGCCTCCTTCCCTGCCTCCTCCCCCCCGTCCCTCTACACTTTACGATATCTTCCTCTAACATCCTCAGCCCACCCCTCCTCTGTGCAGTAATGCTGCTGGGCCAGTGGAGCAGCATTCCTATTTAACAAAGAGTCACAGTGCTGCAGGCTGCAGGTGGAAAGCAGAGACACGCACACACAGACACACACACAAACACACACAGACACACACACTCTAAATGCTTCTCAACTACAGTCTGTGTGTAGATATCTTCTGATTTGACCATTTCTAGCAAGAACCGTGTATGTGTGTATACCATAAGGTTGCCATGGGTCTTCTGATACAGCAGCTGCCCCAGCCACAGCCCCGGCCCCGACCCCGGCCCCGGCACCGGCCCCGGCCCCGGCACCGGCCCCGGCCCTGGCTCCGGCACCCCAGGGGTCAGCACTGGCACCAGGCTCTGGGACATCCATCAGATCCATTAAAGATGACTGTGGCTAGAAAGAGACAGAGGGAAAAAAAGAAAAGAAGAATGGGATGAGTACAGACAAACATACTGGCGGTGGTCACGTCATTATGTGCTACGATAAAACATGAGCCGTACTCATGCAGCCGTACTACATCACTTCAGCTTTGTGTTCCCTGAAACCCAAGTCAGCCAGCTATTCAGGCAGAATAATGATGAGCAAACCACGCAATCTGCTGCCAGTTAGCGGTTTTATTACTGCTTCTGAAGCAGCAGACAGGGTCAGGCAGACAGAGAGGTTGCGGGAGACGAGACTATTTCAGGGTCATGTTCATGATAACAGAATAAGTCACTCTAGTCTCCATGTTTGTGTGCATTTTACCTCTTTCTTCCTCTTGGGAACTTTTACTGTTTCCGGACCTTCTTTCTTACTCTCCTCCAGGGCCATCTGTAGTCTCAGGTCGTCCCCTCTGCGTATGCGCTCCTCCTTAACATAAGCAGAGCAAATTTAGAATGAGCAGCATGCTTAGAAACTAGACCGACTGATCTCACTATTGGGGATATTTAAATTTCATTTTGCAGCTCATACAGCAAAAGCTGACGAGAATAACGGGTCATACTGCCACACAAATGTATGCATCTTGGTTATATTTGCTGATAGTTTTTCAGTTCTTTACAAATGCTAACCAGAGACAATTATCTATGCAAAGGCATTTGGCTAATAGACAAGTGGCAGTAATCATATTTCAGAAATGTTCATGCGGGAAAGTGGGAAACTCAATGTCTTTTTTTAGGTTCAGGGATTTATAGGAACCCAGCAGATAATTTGGCAATGTAAATAATTACCAGGATTTCAGAAAGGTTTTTAAGTATGTGTATTTGCAGCACAATAATGCAGGAAAAGGAAATGAATTGACGTGTAGCAGAATTAAATTAAAGATGATTACTCATAGCTTCCTGTAAAGTAATTTTTTAAAAATATCATAAGCTGGTTTCCACAGCTGAACTGTAAACAATTCAAAACACAGGCACACAGTACGAAAAGAAAACAACAACCAAAAAGGGACTTGTGCTCTGCTATGTTAGTATGTGTTTCTGAGAGTGTGTACCTGTTCTGCAGCCTCTCTGCTCATGGCCAGAGCCAGTTGCAGCTGTAGCTCCTCCTCTCCGCTGGTCTGAGGTCTGGCCTGCTCTAGTTCTGATCCCGCGTTGGGAGACGTGGCTAAGAGACACATTCAGAACATATGTTAACATCACTGCCACATGAGACTCACATACTGTATATTATTACACATAAAACCAATGTCACTGGCTATGGAAATTCTGTGTGTTTATCCTCCAAAACCAACCCTTAACCCTGGAATAATTACAATCATACATAGAAACCCCACACAGTGTTGTCTAGTAAAGCAGTCACTGTATAGCAAATACCATGTGTTTGCATGTGTGAGTGTGTGATTAGAGGCCTTCAGTGAGCCTGTAAGGGATGACGGGTCCATTCAGTTTATTGGATTAGATCAGGCCATGTGGCAGCAGAGAAAACACACAGAAACTGCACATGGCTGGCGCACACACACACACACACACACACACACACACACACACACACACACACACACACGCTATGTGGCCAAGAGAAAGAAGTCACCATGCCAAAAGATTCTCATGAAGGTAGCCTATAGTGTATTTTAATTCAAAACGTGATGGCTGTGTGTCTATCCATGGGAACAGTGCCGTGGGAGGTGATGACAGGAGACGGTGACATCATCAAATCACCCACTGAAATACTTTTTTTTTTCTATGTGATGTCACTATTTCTTCATCATTTCTCAGCAGAGCTTAGAGCAGTTTTGTACGTGTGTGAGTGTTTTTGTGCATTAAACCTGTTTTCTTAACTAAATTAACACTTTCAAATGCAATTGTTTCTATACAAAGCTGTTTTATGCATTAAAACAGTATGCATAGAAAAAAATGTGGAGTGGAAATGAAGTCTTAACATTCTGACTAGACAGTTCCTCTCAGACTTTAATATTACTGTTCTTGTTCTCCAGCTCCAACATAAACAATATCTATCTCCTTCTGCCTGCCTGATTTTTTTACTTCTACATATCTGCTCATAACAACCAAGACCAGTCAGGACATGCTCTGCTGCTGATGTGGACACTCCCAAACACACTCCTCACACAATATAACATCGGGACGATCTTGTGTGTAATGTGACATCCTTTTTTAATCACTGTTCTGAAAGCGATCGGTTAGAAAAGATTCATTAAGGCCTTAGTGCAGAGACAAAACAACAACACTGACACAAATATGACTTGGGGAAACAGTGACGGTTAGTTTCACTATTTGACACAATTAACTTTGAAACCTCACTTTGACGAACATCCTCCTGCCCTGTCAAGACGACGGTAGGAAGTAGATGTCACATCAGCAGGTTTTCTATAAACATTACAAAGTAAATTTACCACATCAAATGTTTCCATGATGAGGAAATGGTAAAAATGCAATGTTTTTGTTTTTTTTTAAAGGAATACATTAACATTTCCTGTAACAACTAAAAGGCTTGGCCTTCCTTGAAATGGTTGAGGAGAGCTATAGCCAACAATAATTAATATTTAATTTGGGGAAATTTCTGTACAATAATAATATATCAAGCATATTATGTATTGATTAAGTAAAGGCATTACAGCCTAATTTCTGCATGACTCTGAAAATGAACAATGAGTACATATTCTCAATAATTAATTCAATGCATCTGTCTCCTTTCCGGTCCTGCTTGTTCTTGGTCAAATCCACATCTCTTGCTCCTTCTCCAGGCTGTGTCTCCAGGGAAAGTGACCACAGTACCAGGGGTTAAGGTGTGTTTGGTTAGCTGGTGGGACTTGGGCCACAGCTGCAACATCAGTTACATGTCTGCCTTAAACAGACAGTGAACACAGTGGCACTAAAGCCTACACACAGACAATGTAACCCTGTAAAAGATGCTGAAATGATATGGCGTTACATTCTGCCATCAAAAGGAATATCTTCCTTTCTCTCCAAAAACAACTGCAATGCAAATAAGGGCTTAAACAACAGTTTTTCAACCAGTGAGCCTAAAGAGAGACTAAACTGGCAACACAATGACACACAGTGACTGACACAGTACACCACTTGATGGTAGCAAGTTCAAAAGACAAATAAACAAAACTCAAAGCCAACTAAAACACACAAGTTTCTTGCCCACCACTGTGGGAATGGACCATATATGGATAATGACAATTCCTTGGCATTCCTCACAGATACAGCTCAGCCTGCAAGCAGAAAATGCATTTAGAAAGTATTTTGTTCGCCGTTCAAGTTCATTCTTATCCTGTTATTTTTCTGCTACATTTCATGACTGAGCAAATAAACAAAAACCTGAAATTCAACAAAATCATAAGCTTACAAAATGACTAAGTACATCATGACATTCAAGCTCTGAATGGAGAGAACAGAGTTTTGGAGAAAGTGAAATGGCCTGATGACCACCAGTGTTATCTGTAGTAGGATTTATGTGGTGATAATGGCGCACAGGATTTCTATCCCAGGGTGTCAACCACTAACTATCAACACATTTGCAGACAGTCTGTCGCTTGTCTCTCTAGATAAAAGAATTAAGTGGCCGTTGAACGTTGCTTAGATATGCTTTCTAGATACTAAAAACAACATGATTTCGATTATTTTCCAAACATTTAGTGTGAATCTGTGAAAACATGCAGCTTTACTGAGCACTGTGCAGGATGACAGACAACCAAAAAAGATAATAAAATAAATATCTTGCATTTACCCTTTGTGTTCAACAGAGAAAATACTTGGAGCCCTACAGCCTTGACTCAGCTTAGACCACACATGCACACACACGCACACGCGCGCGCACACGCACACGCACACACACACACACTTTATTAAACCTGTTGATGTGGAGTTAATGAACTCCATTCCTTTTTTTTGTGCAGTGTGTACATTGGATAGGATCCCATTGTTTAAGTCGACTTACTGAACTCATGCAGAGCTTTAGAAGCACTGAACTATTTGAACTTTTACACTGAACTGAAAAGGCATCATTGAACTAGAAACAAAAAACTAGAGCAAAACCTGCTTTTACTATTGGCTGGTTGGCCTCGGGGAAACTACAGAAAGTACAAGAATACATTTTTAAGGTCTTTCACACACATGTTCATGTTAAAAACCGCACATAAACACAATGTAAGATGTATGATGGATGCGGTATACTAAAGAAGAAAAAACACAACTATATAAAGACATTTTAATGCCATACACCATGCTAATTTCACGCCTTTACAGCTACCTTTGGGACTGGGGGATATGCTGGGTCAACAACAACACTCACACTTGCACGGCCATTCATTCACACCCTGTCTGGACAACAATACTCGGAAAAGTTTGACTGGAATCCCAAAAATCCTGCCTGGCAAAGCCCACAGCGGCAGCCCAGCCTCACTCCTATTGGCCAGTCTTCCCTTCCGTTTTCTCAACTGATGACTCAGCTGCTGGAGTTTCAGCCTCTGAGCCGCACACTCAAACATAACGTACATGCAGGAATGTGGGTCACTAACTAAAAAGTGAACGCATGGCTCTGTGTTCCAAGAACCACATACATGGCAACAGACACACAGACACACAGACACACACACACACACACCCTGCTGCGTACAAAGGACTGGGGGGGGTCAGAGGATGAAAGGAAAAGAGGGCATGGTTCATACTTTCATTTAAACTTCTCCATTCTTCCCCTCTGTCCCTCTCTGTGTTACACCATTTCCTGACTGGGATTTCTGTTTCTTCTTAGCTCTACCCCTATCTCTTTCTATCAGTCCATACGAACATTGCTTTTATATTCTCTGTTAGAAGAAACTAGAAGAAATGAGTACTAAATTCAAGTACAGAAAAACATCAGCAATGGTGACTTCTCACCAAATATATTACCAAGTATGAGGATCCCTTAAATTGTACTTAATGGAATACATGTGATACTATTCCCAGCTTGGCATGATTAACATATATTTTTGAGGCTATCAGACTAATCAATGCATCATGCTAAATACAGAAGGCAGTAATAACATGCATCTGTAGGAAATAAGCCAGACAAGCATAACTATATTCCTACTTCACTAATACACACATGAAATAGTGTGCATACTTCATTAACAAAAAACACACATTTCTTCTCTAGTTTCACAGTAATCCAAGTCTGGATTAATTGTTAAATTATTAAATTTTTCTTTCCATGAAGTATCTCTCAGTGCTATCGTCATATATCCATTTCTCTGTTCTTGCACTGTCTGTCACTGCTTGTTTCCACATCTCTCCCTCGCTGTTTATCATTGAAAAGAGGAGCAGATTCCTCTGTCATGTGGATGATAGGGGCTGGATGGAGGGGGGGGGGGGCAAACTCTGCTTCCTCTGTGTGTGTGTGAGTGTGTGTGTGTGTGTGTGTGTGTGTGTGTGTGCTGAGGAATGCAGCCCTACTGCGGGACTGCAAGCCAGAGACAGAACAGGGGGGAGGGGAGGGGGCGGGGCAGGTTTCAGGATGTAGGCCAAAGTTACACCAACTGGGACACAATACAGTATAATGGAATATTCTGTATCGCATGTTGCTTAAACATACGGAACAAGCCCCGTAAGTGTGTGTGTGTGTGTGTGTGTGTGTGATGTTGTTACTAGAAGCAAATACTCACAGCCATGGTAGGAGGCAGGTGAGCCCTCTGATCTGCCGTACTCTTCGCTGTAGGAAGTGGAGAGGTTGGGCTGAGATGAGCCTCGGCCAAAACCCATCTGACTGCTCCCTGTGGACACCTGGGCCATACGCTCTTTGGTCTTCAAAGCTTGAGACCTGGAAGGACAAAAAAAAAACATAACCACACATGATCAATCCTCTTGACGCAAGTTAAGATTCTTATAATCTTTAGTGTGACTTGCAAAAGGACAATATAAGCATACGGTACAAAAGAATGATTGGTCTTTGGGGCCCGAGAACAGAAAACAGTAACTTGAAGTTTTTTACTAAAGCTGTCCTGAGAATCAGGGTTTCAAGTGGCTTAAATTCTAAATGCCACAGTGAAATCATTAATTAGAATCAAACATGCTGCCAAACAAATGATGAAGTGTCTCCCCCCCTTGGGCCAATTAGTATAATTCTGGAAATGATTCAATGCCCTGATATTTGCCAAAATATGTGTCTATGACATTGTGTGTTATAAAAAGACAGATGGATGAACAAATAATCAAACTAATGACATAGGAGTAGGAGAGCAGCGAGTGTGTCATCTTCTACATTCAGTCATTCAGCGATATGTTCAAGTACAGTCACAGAGAATCACTGAGGTATGTCCAGATTGGTGTTTGCTTAATACTGTGAAGCTGGGAAATGCATCAACTCTATGGCCACTTTTCAAGTGCAGTAATGTGGTTTGCACTTCTTAACAGTGGTGGAGATCCACTGTAAATGTCAAAACACTAGAAGAGGCATGGAATAGCATGACTTCCTCCAGACCAATTTTTGTTAAGAACTAACAGGTGTGGAAACACAATAAGCACTAAAAGGTACCCCAGGTTCCAGGGGGGGAGTAAACACAGTATTGAGACTCTAGGATGATGATGGTGATTGTATTCTGAATTAGTTTACAATGAAGAATTGACGACCATCAGCCACATAAATACTGGCATGGTCCTAATTAGGGATGCACCGAAATAAAAATTCTTGGCCGAAACCGAAAAACGAAAATGAGGAAACCAAGGCCGAAAACCGAAACACCGAAAGAAATTATTATGCCAATTATTAGTACCATTGCATTTATGGCTATGACTGTGTACTAACCTCACTAAAATCAAGGCATTGCATTTCAAAGAATAAATCAATTACAAAAGTATGAAAATATTTATTTAGCACTGACAACAGTGCACAATATAAAATAAAATAAAATTCAAAATAAAATGTTTAACTTTAACTTAATGATGAATGAATGAATGAATGAATGAATGAATGAATGAATAATGAGAATAATAATCAGCCTACGAAATCCCACATCCTCTACTACAGAGAATGGCTGATCATCTAAGGCAATGAATTCCATAATTTTTTGTGTAATGCCCTTTGCCTTGGCACCACCACTGGAAAACTTTCTTGCCTTTTCAAAAACGTCCGCCACAGACGGAGTGGGCGTGCTCGGATTGATTTTCCTTTTCTGTGCCACTTTCTTCTCATATTCAGAATGGCAATCAGGATGTTTGGACTTCAGGTGATAAATTAAACCTGACGTGGAGAAACTCTTTGCAGATGCACCCACTCTTGAAATTTCGGCATTACAGGTTTTGCAAATCGCTATCTGTGGGTATTTCTCAGATATTGAAATACGTCCACACACAACATGTTGGCACTTATCCACTACATGTGCTGGCCGCGGTTTTTGTTTGCGTCATCACAACTTCCTGTTTCCGAAAATGCACTTTTGGGCCGTTTTCAGCCAAAAACTTTTTGGTGGCCGAATATACGGTGTATCCCTAGTCCTAACCTGTGTATGGGAATAGGTTGTAGATGGTTAAAATAAACAGCAGCCTCTTGCAACTGCACTAACAAAAGCAGAATTATTGCAAAAGGAGAATTATTTTGCTTTTATTTGACGGTTCAAATCACTGTCTTTCAGCAGGGCCCATTTAGAGCAGAAGGACAAGTGCAAAGTCACAGTTGGGGAGTGTATTCTATCATTGTGACAGCTCCAACCCCACAGAAAGAGTTGGGCAAAGCCTTAGTATATTAGACACACAGTATATTAAACTCAGGGACAGACGAGTGTTACAGCAATAAATGTTAACCACAAAATAACTCCATAAACATCTTTGCATAAACACAAGTCGACGCCGGAGATTTTCAACTATTGTGTATCTGTTCAAAATTAATTTAGAGAGCTCTTACCTCTCTCCTTTGAGGCGTTCCTCGTCTTTCAGTAGGACCACTAGCTGCTTGCTCTTCTCCCTAACGTTGATGCCCTGGTCTTTGCCGTCTCTGTCAATGTACTGGAAGTCCTTCAGAGTCTGGATGGCGAAGATGTTTTCTTTGCACTGCAGCGCCACTCGCTCTGAGCCCGTCTTGATCAGGTAGTCGAGCAGTGTGAGCGCCTTGTAGACGTGGCGCCAGTTCTTGCCGTGGTCGTTGAGCCTTTTCCAGATCATGCTCATGATCTCACTGAAGGCCACCACGTTGTAGGTAAGGTCGGCGATCTCGGACATGAGGGAAGACGATGGGCCCCAGGGGTCGTTGGAAGTGGCCTCTCTGACTTTCTTCTCTGCGTCAGAGTAGTTGTTCACCATGTTCTTCATCTGCCGGCGGATGGTTGAGCTTGGCATGGTGGCGGTGGAGATGGGACAGACAGGAAAAAATACAATGTACACTCTCACACAGGAGAGGAGCTAAACATCAATAATGTTTGGGTAAGGAAAGCTAACAGACACACTGGGTGTCAATGTGTGTGTGCGTGCTTCAGCTGAAGCTTGCGTTACGTGTCCGTGCACCTGTGTCCTTTCTCAAGGCACGGCGGTGGCGTGTGTGTGTGTGTGTGTGTAACTCTTGTGTCCAGGTGTGTATGTGTGTGTGTGTGTGTGTTGTGTACGAGTGTGTTTGTTTATGAGGCTTCTCCAGGCCAGTGCAGTGTTCCTGAGTCCTCCAGAACAGCGTCTGTTAAAACCATCTCCACACACACAGTGCTGGCTGCACACATGACCACGCCATCACCTAGGACAGACAGAGAGATTACAGGTTAGTGGAAGGATGAGGGGGGGGGGAGAGACATTTAAGAAAGGTAGCAGAAGAAGGCAGTTGAAAATAGCTACATTCAGCCAAACTAAAACAGCAAACATGACAACACTTCCTTGTTATAATGAGTTTCTGAGTAATGCGCTAACAGCTTAGTCTTCATTTTAGCACTACACCACATGACACATTCATGTTTCTCTCAACCTAAAGAGTCATGTTGTATGCCAACAATCCCCAACTAATGAAATTCCTCTCCCCTAAATATTCAACCTACCTTGTATTAGAGACACATTGGAAAAAAATGAAACATCTGGTAAAGTTATCCGTCTAATCTTAGTTACTTTGTTAAAGCTGTCACCATAATCCCATTTTCTACACCTAAAGAGTAAGAGCATGAAGATAAATTGTATTTATAGGGGCAACTTTACTGCCTTCCCCTCTGAAACTAGACAAAACAAAACAGTGTTTCATACTTTCACACTTACATAAGCAATTTCCATGCACTTGCAGAGTGCCTGCCTCCTTCATATTATACAAGGCCAGGGGGTTGTGGCCAAGAATTGTGGTTCCACTTTTGTAACTAACTCGAGTTTACAGTAACCTGACTCAATTGCAAACAAGGCAATGTCAATAATTTCAGGGCATTCAGGCCTGTGTGATGGTAAAGTTGGAAACTGGGTGGGCTTTGGGGACAATAAATGAGTAGAAAACACAAAACATTCCACAAACAATTTAAAGGAGACGTACACAACTCTCTTATGATAATGATGTATGTATAAAAAAAAGTCAATAAATCTGCCAAGACAGTGATATGACACCGTTCTCTAGTTACTGAGAAAAATAATATCCTACTTCTTCATAACAAAACCAGTTTATTCAATACACCTGTACAATCAAATGCTAATAAAAATACTGTGTGGCTGCAGGTTTACCAAAAACATTTTTCTTCCAAAACGTGAGTTATGTATTCCTCTAAAATGAAATGCATTATTTCAACCATGTGAGAGTGGAATTAGTCCAAAGAAACATGAGGGAAATGTATCAAAGCAGACACAGAAGCAATAGCTGATTTATGATTTATCAAGGCTCTTTCCCACCGACCACAGTATTGACATTCAGTGTATTGTTACGAGAGATAGCAATGACTGAGTAAAAATGTGTTTCCACCCTTTGGTGGGTGGCAGGGGAGATAAAGCATTTCCAGTCTGATTATGACTGGAGGAGTAACTTATGACTCCTCTGTCCTGTTTCTGACAGATCAGCAGCCCGGGCTACTAATCACTTCCTGACTGACACACACAATTATGGAAACTGTGTGGACTCACAGTTATGTGACTTACAAAGCAAAGTTCCATTCACACACAAAAAACTGTTGTTTAGCATGTACCATGAAGTTATGAGCTGCACATTTACTATCATTGCATCTTCTTTTAACCAAGTAGGGTCTTTATGTTAATACAATTGGGCTGCTTGGAAAGAAAAATCAATTTTGCTGAAATACAATATTGCAGTAGTTTAAACTCAGACGCAAACACACACTGGCTGGATCTGCTTGGCTCCATCATTTAGCCAGACTAATACAGAGGATTTCAACTCCATTCGTCATTTAGGAAAAAACTTCTGAGTGTACACACAGTCTTATCGTATTGGCACAGTTAGGCAGTTACACACATTCACATTGACAGTAAACTTGCCAAATCTCATTTAAATAATTACTCTCAGTAATAAATCAGTCTGGGTTTGCTGAGTTCTTGTCATGCCCACTGTTCCTCTGACTACCATTGAGGGAGACCCCTTGATGACTTATCCTATTCAGTAATCTGATCCCTGCACCAAGCGTGCTTTGACATGTCCTGCAAACAAGTGCTTTCATGAACAGAAGAAGAGTGTTAAAAGTAAGCAAGTGGCTATGTACATTTATTTATTTATGTGTATGTGTGTGTTTGTTTGTTTTAGGGATCCTCCTGCCCAGCAATGCCATGGAAAGACAGCTGGGGGGGATGAGGGTGAGGAAACGAGGAGTGCGAGTGTGTGTGCTTGGGAGGGGGGGGTAAGAAAACAACTTGGCACATCCCGTAAATTCACTTAACACCAGTGAAATGTGATTCCTGTGTGGCATGCCCCCCCAAAACGTTCCCTCCTCACCCTGCATCCGCATGAATACAGCTCAGACCTAATGACACATCTGCTGCTATAATCACCTATTCACCCATAGCAGACAGGAAGAAGAGAGGAGAGTCTGTCTTGTCCAACCCACCCCCCTCCAAACCCCGGAACAACCCCCACCAGAAGACACCGCTGGCCCGCCTTCCTTCAGCCCTTCTGTGCTTAGATCATTCGAGTCCCAAGTCCCAGAAGAGACGGCACACAGGACTTTTGTGTGTGTGTGTGTGTGTGTGTGTGTGTGTGTGTGTGTGTGTGTGTGTGTGGGAAAACACATTCATGTGCCGATGCAGGTTCATTATGTCTGAATGACTGAGCCTGTCATTCTTGTCAAACTGCCATCACGCCTTGTTGTTGCTAGAATAGGAGAATAACCATAAAAAAATATTTAGTCGAGGGACGACTTCTTGCAGCTTTGGAGGAACTCGCACACACCTAACATCTGCTGCCACCCTTTCAGTCTCTTCTCTCCGGCTGTCTGTCCTTCTGTATTTGACAGAAAGTCAGCCCAGTCTTATCAGTTTTTCCAGAGTTACAGTAGAAAAATGCAATGTTAAACTGCATATTTACAGTAATTAAATTAAGATCATAAATATGTGACGACTGGACGACTTGAACTAATGACTACTAGTCGACTAGGATAATATTTGGTATGGGGCAGCACTAAATAAGGTACTGGTGAATACACTGATATAATTTGTATCATATCTGTGACTTACATGGAGTTGCATGAGCCAAAAACTGCTACAAAATAATTTGATAGCTGCCGAAAAACAGCATGTGGATAATCACTGCAAAATATCTGCAGTGAACTGAAATTTACAGGAAAAACAATATGGCGTTTCCAGTGCTATCTAGCAGCAACAGTCACTCACTATTAGACAGTGAATAAAATAATCTACCGCAATTATTTCCAGTATATAATGAATGCATGGCACTGGCTGACAACATGTCCATCTAGTCTTGTGGGGGTGCTCAGCAACAGGTGACACTCCCTTGCTGAATTGTAAATCAGTTTCTATGGCAGAGGCACCTACAGGGGACGACAAGACCCAATCTGCCAGACTGTTGCTGGGATGGACCTTGCATTTTTGGTAGATAGCATCAGCAATATAAAGCTTGCTATCAGAAATGCCCCATCGCACTTGGTTAACACACTGAAACCTCACAGCGTGGTGAACAAGTGACCCGCACGTGAACTTCACAGCAAACAAATTTTGATCATTTTGATTATATGACAATGTCAAAACTAGAACAAATAATCATGTCAGCCTTTAATACAGACTTCCCTACCAAACTTTAGGCAGTGTGTGAAACAATGCCATGACTTACAGGAATTAGCTAGAGTTCTACAGCCCATTACGACAGTAGATGTCCATCTCTTTTAGTTTTTTTAGTTTTTTAGAACACCGGACGCAAGTGAACTGTCCGATGCACGAAACAAGCGAAACCTATCCTGTGTGTGCGAGTGGGCCAGTGTCTGGGTGTGTCTTGGCAAAACCTAAGCAAACTGTGATTAGCATTAAGGGTTGAGAGGCAGCACACTGAGAACAGGTCTTCCTTGCCAGACCCACACTGTAAGAGTAAAGCTGATCTGGAGATAGAAGGCTTGCACAACCGGGTGCTTGTGTATGAGTGTGTGACAGTTAAAGAAAGAGAGAGACAGGGGTGAGTGTGCAATGTGGTGACATTACGTTATCCACCCGATTCCTTCATCACCCATTTACTTCTTTCCTGTTCACAAGCCACATATACCAGTCATTAATCCTAAACCACTCAGCTGCCTGAGGATTAAGGTCCTACAAGCCAAACTAACAATCGCATCAAGTCTAACCCAAAGAAAATCAAACCACTAACACATGTTCCAAAATCCCTAAAGTGACTGTCAATCTATGGTAGGGGGGTATGATGAAGTGAGCTATTTAAGCCTAAAGAAGGGAGGAAAAGACAGGAAAAGAGAGGCCACCTTCTTGATCGACATTTCACACCGCCTATTGTCCTCCGTGGCCGGGCCGAGAGACAAAGCCAAGTCAGGCAAAGGGAGGAGGACGGTGATGATGCATCTGTCACCCACTGTGACTGAGTGATCATCCTGACAATAGACAAAGCCCTGCCCCTCTCTCAGGCCACGTTTGTACGGGCTCAGTGCGGCTCAGAATAAAACGCTCACATCGAAACACCAACATCTCCGACTATGCCCCATAAAATAAAGAAACCCTGGCCCTGTGCAGCGTCTTTCAGCCAAGGTTTTATGCGAACCTACCGAGCAGTAGTGTTAGCCGATTGCAAACGGAGGGAGTAAACAGACAGCGCCCACACCGTGAAGAATTTCCCCCAAAATCTCAACAAGTATGTGGACGTCAAGTATTGCCTTGAAGACTTACAAGTGTACGAGCTTAACTTAGTAGTACTCTGATACAACGCACGGTACATCGGGGGAGGAAATAAATATAATTAAGATGCTCAGACCAAACACACACAAAAAGAAAATCACAGCGTTTCCTTGAACTGGTGTCATTGATAGCACATAAGCTAAAGTAGCTTTGGCTAACATTATTTATTTTTTTTTGTCTCAATCCTATTTTCAGGTTTTTCTAGTCAAATAACCTGTTTGAATTGCGAAATAATGTCGGGAGCAGCAGAGCTCGAAGTTTGTGCACCGTCACTTTAATACATCGGGAGCGATAACTAGCCTACTTGCTACGTGTGCTAACGTTAGCAGGTTCAGTGCAAACTTGCGACAAGTAGTTGGCGTTAGCTAGCTACATAAGCTAGCGAGCGGTAACTTGGTTACGCTGATCCGGTGTGTTACCTCAGGTGGTTGGAAAAGTGCACAAACCCACTCAAGTTTGTTTTATTGACACGTCCTGTGCCTCTCCGTTGCCGCCGACTGTGATACCTGCGCTCGGATATCCAACCACTGACTAACGTTAATTTCTAATACGGGATCACAACTTGGCTCTGAAAAAAAGTTGGATCAAAGCTAGCGGCGCTTACGTTAGGTTAGCTAGCCGCAGAGCTCCTCTCTTCCGTGGCTCAGCTAGAAATTCAACCATTGACCGCTCAGGTTTTAATGATACAGACAACTCCCCGTGTGTGGGATTCACATTCAGCCCTACAGACTAGATAAACAACCATTCCGGCCAGCTTCCCGACGTATTTTCTGAGCTAAGACAGCCAACTAGCATGCTAAGCTAGTTAGCAATCCTTCAAGCTAGTAGCCAAGACGGGTGCTCGGTGGAGACATCACCGGAGCGAGCTGGATTACAGGACACCCTGGAAAAACAAAACAACTCGACTGTCTTGAAAACCGACGTGAACTTACCATATCCTTTGGGCTGCGTCGGGTACTACTGTTAGTCCAGGGATATAAACCCATAAACAAGTTTCACCAATTCCAAGAGGGGGGAAATGAAGGTTTAGTACTTATTTCGGTGTTCGGGGTGCTTGTTGCGCCTCCGCCAAGCTATGTGTTGCTAATGCTAAGCCAGCTAAAGCCAGGCTACACGTATCTCCTCCTCCAGAACATGGCGGGCAGAGTGGGAGGCGGATGGGGGAGGCTGGGAAGGGTGTGACCAAGGCGGCTTGACTTGCCAGGGGCACATAGAGCCCCTTTACTGACTCCCCGCTGAAAACTACAGTAGGTGTCACCCATCAAGTCATATATTGCATAGTAGCATTACAGCAACAGGGCAGGCCTGTTTCAGTGTCACCATCGTGATGATTGATCTATTTTACGTTTTCACAGCAGTGACATGTAGAAGAGTGGGCCTTAATGCTGGGAGATTAAAATACACCACAGTGCTGGTTAACAGTGTCTGCTTAAGGGCAGCAAGTTATAATCCTGTTTTAAAATCTAGTCCCTGTCTCTTTTGTTTGTTTGCTGTTTAGTGACTGAACAGACCTCTCAGGTAAATCAGGTTCAGGTTCTTCTCAGGAAACGACGTGTGCAATTCATTCCTTTTTGGGGAAAGTTGTATCCGCCACAGTGAATAAAATAGGCAAAGGATTGCTGTGTGTGTGTGTGTGTGTGTGTGTGTGTGTGTGTGTGTGTGTGTGTGTTTACAGGTGTGCCAGTACAAGCCACACAAACATTGCAGGACAGCATTCCATCAGAGTTTTTCCACTGTCTCTGTGCAACCGTCTCATTAGCAGGGTTTTAAATAGAGGGAGGGACACGGCCCTCACACATTTCAGACACACATGCATATCACTGTTGCTTATTCAAATCAGGTTCTATGAATAGACATAAAAGATTCCCTGAAAAGTTTACAGTGAGCTATGAATAGACACCTACATGTGTAGACGGAGAGTGCGGTGCTTAAAAATAGAGGCAGCGATCAAAATGTCACAGTTTTACATCTCAGCCGGCACCGACAGAAAAGTTGCCAACACCTGAGCTCCAGCGTGTAGATGGCCAATGTGGAGTCTGTAAGTTGTGTTTTTGGCTGGCAGTGGCATTTTATTTTGGTCTTTTTCTCCTTTCATTCTCTCCGTCTTAATATAGAGTATCACGCTGGCGCTTCGCCCTCTCTCTGCTATGTTGAGTGTACAGGATAAGCCTAAGAAAGCCCAAGCCAAGCTGATTTAGGTGTGTTTGTCAGTCTCTTCAGCAAGAGAAAGAGAGATAGACATGGAGGTCCTGGTGCGAAAGAGGCTTCTCTGTTATCAGCCACAATAGTTTGATTGCTTGGAATGGAATAGAGGTGAAATTTGTAAGTCAGGATGCAAGAAAAACAAGTAAATTATTGAAAAGATGGTGAAGTACTATGAAATGTTAACTCAAAACCTTTACCAGAAAATGATTTTCCTGCATTTTCTGAAATACTGATACCCAAACCTTGCAACACTTCTATCTAAGATATTATGTTTTCTTCAAATGTGAATTCAGCGGACTGCATATCTAGGAATCCGAGCTGATCACATTAAACTTAAAAGCATCCCCATTAAAAGCATCACTACATGGGAACAGTCAATATTTAGCTCAAGCTGGGTTGTTCAACAGCACTAGAGGTGGCAGGAGGAGGGCATTATGTCTTTGTGATATTATTTGTATCAAAACATGTATTTGTCTAGAATACAGCAGAAGATCAAGGGTGGGCCGAATCTCTGAAACAACACGTAACACAAAAGCAACATCGTAATATTTCACCTTGACATATAAGACAAATGCCTGAGATTACCTTGTTTCATAGTTAGTGCTTTCTTATCATCTCCGCCTGAGTGTTATCAAGTTTGCCTCAGTGCATTATCGAGCCCATTCAAGCTTGTGCAAGCCCGGTCTGTGCTGTTCCACCGAGGGCAAAATATTAGAAAAAAGTTGCCAGTAAATATATCAAAGGTGAGGCAGGTCCTACAGTGTGAGGGTGCCTCCTGCAGATCACATCACATAATTCCCCTGCAGGTCCCATTTCAGTCAATAGAGGTCAGGAGTGTTCTACTTTTTATTCCAAGACCTGTGCTCGGAAGATTTTATTGCAATGTGAAGATAATGTCAGAGGTCCTTCGAACTGAACCCCTGCAGCCATGGGTGACCTTTAATATGTGATTACCACCAATGACCCTTGGTTTGAAAAGTCATTAAAACTAATTAACATTAAACACCACAGCCTGCCTCCTTACATGTAATTACCCTCATTCACAACACTCATACTCTATTAGAGACTCACTGGGCCCTTAGCGTTCCCTGCTGAACCCTTAGGTGTAGTGCACTGAACTAGGTTATTCCTGGTCACACCGAGGTATACTCAGAGTTGAGCAGCATAAAACACCAGGTAGTCTCATCTTTGCGTTGGACGACTAGTGTAAAATCCACACTAGCACACACACTCACAATTTATATTTGAGATATTCAGACATTATCTTGGTTTATCATCAGTCTCCTCAAACTTTAATTAATGAATCCATACGATCGAAAGAACACACCCGAGAATACATTACACAGCTCATAATGTGTCAGAGATTTGCCATATCAGATCCACATTATATAACTGAGCATTGTTTGTCACACACCAGCAAATCAGGCACCGTGTGCAGTAAATCACAGTTACAAAGGCAGCGACACATGTGAGTCATATTAATGAGAATATATTTCAGCAGTATGTGTGAAGCTAACAGATGTACAAAGAGGCCTGTTCGCCGCATGAATAACTGGCGCACAAGTTTAGAAACCTACAAAGTTATGTAATGTGGAAGTGGGGGAAAGACGGTCAGGATTCAGTCTCTGGCCCGCAGTGGAACACGTGGTTTCAGACAGAGCCGAAATCAGCAGAAAAACAGAAGAAGACAGAAAGCATGAAACAGGATCATGTATAATACCTTCCACTACTGCCAGATTATTAGCTAAATCTTTTCACACATGCAATTGGTATTATGCTCGCCAGTAGCTGGTATAAATTCTACCTGAAGAAGGTGAGCAAGAAGAAAAAAGTGCTCAACCGCTTGAGGAGTTGACGTTGACTCAATTGTAGCTCCCACCGCCACGAGCTCACCTCTGTGAGTTTAACTTAAACCTTTTAGTTCAACAACCATTAGAGACTAAATTTACTTTCCTATTCTTATAACTTGATCACGCCAAACAGAAATTCCACCTTCAGATCTATAATTCAGGGACTCTCAGGGAATCAGTCTGCCTTTTTGTTTGCAGACACAATGCTGTAGTTCTCAGCTCATCACTGTTGTTAACAGCCTCTCTAGCGGGTATCCCATACACCACAAAACTAACTGATGTGATTTAAACCAACAAGTACAGAGGAAACATTAATAATACACACTGTTAACTTTCACTCAGCTATAACAGAGCCATACTAATTCAAGTACAGACAGCTTTTTCTGCATAACTTAATACCAAATGTGATTGTTTGAATGTTTAATTCATTATAAACCATAAAAGTAAAAACACAATGTTTAATTTACAAATTAAAAACTTTTTTTTTTAAAACCACAGCTACAAGATTTGTCATAGTTTTGTACCCACCATGGTTTCAATATGACTGCAGGCAATTTGATCCGGAAAGGGGTCAGTTATATTCCCACAAAAGAACACTACAATTAATAGGCATGCTGTGAGTAATTCATTTTTTATGTGCCGCATATGTTTGCCAGGGCGGGCACAACAGCCTTATCACGATAACATCTTTTCGGTGTTTCTACGATATACAGTGCATCAGTTTTTCACAATTTACAAATGAAATTACTCCTTGTTATGCTGACCCAATGATGAAACATGTCACTCAAACTACCTCAAACATAAACAGAGAAGTGGGCATGGGCAATAGAAATTTGACCACTCCATCTGCTCGGTGTTGGAGGAAATCCAAGTTTCTCACTGAGTTCACAAAACTCTTTTAAGCCAATTTATGTGATGAATGAAACTGCTATCTCACCCAGCTTATACTGCCTACATGCTAGAAAACTAGTTGGGCCTGTACATGCCTCTAAATGGTTCAATAGTTAATAGTCCCCTGTGTGATTTTATTACAGAGGAATAGTAGTTATGCTTTAAATATAAGTCACATTATAAAAAACTTTTAATCTTAACCAGATTTTGGAGCTGTTTCACCATAAATGCATCATGACCTTCTGCATGCTGGTCCCCCCTCTGCATTTAGCTGGTGCCCTTTTTATTTTTTCCACCCCCGCCACTTAGACATGTGTGCCACTGTTGCCTACTGTTCAACCTATGTATGAGAGTGGGGGAGGTAAAGGTGTGGATGTTTTAAATCTGAATCCCTTGGAAAACCAGTGAGAGACGGGGGAGCGAAAAGCAGGCCCCTTCTGCAGTGAATCGTAGTAAAGACAGAGAGAGAGAGTGTGAGAAAACGTCTTCTTCTCCAACAGAAGGAGAAATGTAGTGTTGTACTATTTCTTGAAAGGAAGTTGAGAGACTTTCTGCCCACCTGCTCTTTCCGCCTTTGCCCACTTGCTTCCGCACACACGCAAACCTCTATTTCACGTCTTCTGCATCAGTGCCCCTGACAGGATGATATGTTAGCGTCACTCAGGCAGAAAAACACTGCAGCTTGCATACTAGATGTGCTTGTGTGTGTTGTGGGTAACACAAATCCAGCACAACTGTAGGACTGCCCCTGGATTCTGTTAACACGGACAATGGGTTACACATTTCACACAATAGCTCATGGTTTTGAAGTTAAAAAAATTCTTCACTTCATGAAAAGTGTTCTCATTTGCCGTTCAAAAACATCCTGCCTTGCTGTCTTGACTGGAAATGGACACAGGAAGTGATGTAATTGCACCGGATGAATGAATCGAACAGAAGAAAGGGGTATGAACAGTGAACACCGCCGTGGCAGAGTAGACAAAGAACAGAACCACCTACAGAAAATGCAACTTGACAAACAGAAAATCCAACAAAAGTACCACCCACACTGTTTGTGAAGCAAGTGAGGCTTGGAAGCGCCAGCAATCCCGAATTAGCACAAATTTACACTTAGAAATGAAATAAATCACAGACTTACAGGTGGACGCCCATCTGTAGAGGTTGCATTGAACTACATATGTCTAGAAAACATGGCTTTGATGCTGAAATGAAATCTATATTTACATTTATTCACATTTAATATTCCTTTACAGCATTTGCATATACAACATTTACAAAATCATCACACACAAGAAGGGGACAAAATAAATTATAAGACTGCACTTTGGCCCTTGAGCTGAAGGCGGTTCCACTTCCTCTCCAGCTCTTCCTCTTATATTCTTCCATCACCCCACAGCCCTCCTCTCTTCCTCCTGCAGTCCCTCCTCTCATGGCTGAGTCAAGTGACCAGCTGACTGGGGATTTCCAGGACAGGTCACGCTATTGAAACCACAGGTCGGCCATGTTTTCCTGCTGTTCTGCTTAGTCTAGTTCCATTTAGTTCTGTGCATGTTTCACTCTTTCTCACATATATGACATGTTTAAGTGTTAAATTGTGTGACCATGAGCCAAGAATATCATATTAATTAAATATTGTACTGCTGATTTCACAATGAATAAATAAAATCACATTACTCATGACTCTGAACTGCATACGGACAGCAGCGCCATTTCTCATGACATATTTTGACAGGGGAAAAGTGCAAAGGCTTTCACATCCCATGACATCTTGTGGCCTTAATGTGGAGTTTGGGAAATTTAGACCTTATGAATAAGAGCTGAAGTTGTTGTTTTTTATCCCAAGAAAGAATAACTAACCTTGTAAAGTGTTATATTTAATGTAGAGTACTGATACACACGTGTTCTGAGCATCAGTGGCTTTTTGGGCTAATTCACAACATCTGAGAAAAATAAGTGACACTAAACTCTGATTTATTATGGATCAACGCAAGGGCTTAACAGGAGTCCCACTGTAGGGCGTAGATTATAATTCAGCATCAGATTTCTCCCGTTGGGAGACACACAAAGGACTTCTTAGAGTTAATTAGTGGTATAATTATCTTGAATGCAGTTTGACAATAAATAGATCAACGTCTATTCTTGTCTATTTTGATCCGCATTGGTCTCAGCGGCTCAGTAGAATTGAGCATTACCTCACTGGAAGGGTAATTGAACTAAATTTAAACAATAATTCTCCTCACTGTGTCTCAAACCTTGCAACAAGATTTTCTCTTTTGGTTAAATCTTGCAGGTGGAAAAATAGAGCCGCATTTAGGCTTTTGTTACACCCACAGTGTGTCAGTGTGATTTTCTATCATCATAAGTGTGTCCCTCAGGTATTGAAATGAAAAGCTCTTCCCTCGCAAAACCTTTTTTTTTCCCCCTACCGTCCACTATCTCCACAGCACTTTTTGCAACAGTGGATTTAACTCGTCGTCACATAAGTTGGGATGGACGATCTGTCCATCATTAGCTACCTGGTGCTCCTGCCAGCCTCACATCCATAAGCAAAGACATGTCCTCCATCCTTTATTCTTTTTTTTTTTTTTTAACTTGCAAAAGTTCATCTTTTTCACTGTTCCAGATTATATCCTGCATGTATTGTAAATCTTGAATGCAACCAAAGCTGCTGCAAAAAAGTAAAGCAACATGTACAAATAGATAGGGGGATGGAAAGAGGACATGGCAGTATAACAAAGGGGATATCAAGGCCTTGAAATGGCTGCTGGCCCAATGACTACTTTATATGAATATGAACTCAAAGGCATCACTGGTGTTTCATGTATCCCAATAAATAATCTGAATATGAACATTTTTGGGTGAATTATTCCTTTCCATCTCCCCTCTTGACTTTCTCACCTTTAAGATTATAATATTAGGAACAGCAAACATGAGCTTACTTTTTACGTGGAAGGGATGAAACTAAAATAGGTTCACACAATGACAGAAGTGTAAAGACAAACCACACAGTGATGCACACATATACAGGTAACTGATTGAAAAAAGTCACACGCACACACACAGAATCCACAGAAGCCACACCAACTGTGTGAGACAAATATATACACAGGAAGTGCCTCCCACTCCCTTGCCCCTACTTGCTGTCTCTCTCTCTCTCTCTCTCTCTCTCTCTCTCTCTCTCTCTCTCGAGCGTTACTCATGGTGGTGTGTTGCTGAGCAGCAGCCAGTCGTGTTTTTCCCCTCACCACTCTCTCTCTCTCTCTCTCTCTCGCACTCTTATCCTCTGCTCTGACTCTCTTGCGCTCTGGCTCAGCGGACAGACGAGACCTCTCCTCTCTCGCTCCTCTTCCTCTCTGCCAGTCTGTTATCTCACTGAATCCTTTATCTGTTTCTCTTTTTCACATTTCTACCTCCCTCCATGTCTCCCCCTCTGTGCCAGGGGCATTAGCGGGGGTCCCGGTGTGTGTGTGTGTGTGTGTGTGTGTGTGTGTGTGTGTGAGTGTGAGAGTGTGTATTAGGGGGTTTCGGCATGGAAGCTGTGGCACTTTATACATTTCGTGCCACAGAGGGCGATGAACTCAGTTTCAACAAGGGAGACCTGCTCAAGGTAAGGGAAAGAATTGTTTGTACGTTTTTCTATCTATCTGTCTATCTGTGTATCTATATATATAGATACACTGACATACAGCATGTCTCACACACGTGTTGTATTTCTCAAGCAGAACAGTAGTAGACCAACAGATTGCCTCCACTGTGATAATTCCAACAGTTCTAACTTTGGTGTCTCTCAGCACTTTGTATCCAGGTGCTGCTGTTGTTGACTACAGAAAGTGCAGTATGATACAGCTTCAACTTGTACTGAATGAACACTGAAACATTTTTGATTGAGAACGTGACTGGCAGCTGAAAACACTGTGCAGGATAATCTTATTCAAACGTCCACTGCTTAAAAATGTATATATTGCACCCTGTAGCAAAAATGAGACTATAGTTTAAATGAATAGATTGACTTTTGATTCCCTTTCTTGCTGATGAGGAGATCAATACCACTCTCATGTCTGTATGCTACCTACGTACCTGGGAACAGCGGCCGGCGAGCTTTATAAAGAACGTTTTTCAGCTCACTAATAAACACATCACATCTCATTTGTTTCATTTGCACAAAAACCTAAGTGTAAAAATGACTTGATGTGGAATGTTATGTGCTAGTAACTTTCTTTTCTTTCCCTGAAATTACATGGCCTCCACTCTAACCCATTTCTGTGGGGAAGGGAGATTAAATTTTCCCTAATCAATCAGTAGAGACCGACATATCCACCTGAATCCATCATCATTTTAAAGTTGACACTGATGCATAGGCATGTCAGCAGCGGAGCGGAGGAGTGGAGCAAACTATGATGTCAGGTAACACTGAGAAGACATGTCGTAGTAGAATAATAATAGCAGCGTCTAACTTGTCCGGCGCACAGCTTAGCAGCAGTGTTTGTCCCACCCATGGGGCTGATTGGCTAATCATTAGTCCCCCCCCCAAGGTCAATTTTTCATCCGAGAAACCACATTTTCATGTTATGATGCCAGACCAGAGTGTGAATCAGTGATCAGTGGGCGTATTCAACGCTCTGGACCGAGGCAAGGAGTTTTTTGGTCCTGCACAATAAATAGTTACAGCACACAACCACATAAAATGTCAAACTGACATATTCATACTTTATACTTCACTGTTTCCAGCCTATATGCTAAGCTAAGATAACTGGCTTAGCTTCATATTCAGCCAAGAGACAGGACTCTCTTCTTTCTCAAAATGACAAACTACTCCTTCAAACTAATCACATTTTTTTACTATGGGATGCAAAACCAACATTTCCTTAAAGCTACAGTGGTTGTATTCTTCTGATGGAGAACAGGCCGAGTGCAGTGCTGAAATAGATCCTGCACAGCTGGAAATTATTGTAGTAGAAAATTGTCCCTCTAAGACATTAGCAATAAACCTCAGATTTAAAGAGCAAGAGCTTCTCTCCAGACTTAACGCTGTGGCACCAGCTGTTCCGCGGTCTTACAGTACATGGTGAAAGACACAGCGAGATCAGTCTCTCCACTGGATCTGCCCTCAGCGGACCAGATGTTGCTGCAGGAAAAGTTTTGTTTTAGGAGCAGCTCTAACATTTTCTTGACTGGTAAAACCCTTAAGTTCTTGCTCTCATTATTATATTACTATGGCCACTTGTACATGCTATATATTACTACTGGAGGCCGTTCCCTGTTGGGTTTCTGAAAGGCCTCTTGGGAAATGTTAGAAGTCACACAATGTAGTAGTAAGTAAAGTAAATTAGGCAGGTGGAAGGAAAGACCTCATGGCAAAATAACCCATGACACATCTTTGATGATGTCTAACAGGATAATAATGCCCGAGGGTGGAATTTACCTTTAATTGTATGCAGTACAATGGTATTATACACCCCAGACAGACTCTGATTCTAATATTAGACGACACATGAATAAAGCAGCTTCTCAATTCTGCTGTCTGCAAACTCATTTTTGTGTGTCAGTTAATGAGCCTAAATGAGGTGGCATTTAGTTTTGCTGCTATGTCAGTGCATTGTTACAGTAAATAAATGTGTTTTTCTCATTTCCTGCCGTATTTGTGTGCAGATATCAGTTGGTAAAGTATACCTCTTGATCTTTCAAAATGTAATTAGTTGTTGGCTTTAGTCAACTGCGACTTAAGACCGTATTTATGTTGATGGGGTCAACAGTATCAAAGTGAACTCATGCCATAATGGCCACGGTGACGCATTTGCTGCCACTAAAATTGGACCTACACTTAAAACAGTGTTCAAGCTTATGCATCACTTTTTCTTTTTTCCCACTTGGACAAACTGATGTCTTTTCACAGCCAAGCAGCACCGGTTCAGACCTGGGTCAAACAGTACTTTTAAATAATTCTTCACATTTGTTCATCCCTGTTTGCAGCACCAGATGGCCTGAGGTTTACAATGTCAAAACAAGTCATATGTCGTGTTGTGCAAAATGTTACAAAGAATTCTAAATCAGATACTTTCCTGTCACGAATTACTGGAGCTCATTTAGACGTTTACTGTGTAAAAACATACATTTCTGGCTAAAAAAATTTCTTTAGGTCCCAGAGCTGCTCCCCCTTGTTGGGGTACATTGTTTTCTTCATGTCCTGTTGTGCAGTAGCCATGTGGAAACGGATCAATCAGGCAGTGCAGTACTCATGATGAAATAAAAAATAGCTCTGTAGTTAAATAAAAAAGTAGCTGCGCTCACATTCTGTTTAAAGCTGGAAGACAGTGCGGCCAAGTCTAACACAAGGGACACACAAGTAGAGCACGAAAACACACGTTTCGTTTGTTCTCCAAACCCCAACACATGAATGTGACAATTTGGGATTTAAATTGGATCTGGACTGTGCGACAGACTCCTCTGTCACTGGCAGCAACTACAGTCACAGGGAGTAGCCAGGTAGTAAGCTCAAGCTAGTGTAGGGTTTAACACAATCTCTCAATCAGTAATCTCCTCAGACGTATGATCCATTCCCATTGTGTAAACATCAGCTGAAAGTTGCTGAAATAAATGTTTGATTCATTTATTATATTCAGTAATATAATTTCTCATTTGTTCAGTTCGTGGTGTGACAAAAAAAAGATCCAAGCCCAGAAACAGTCTGCCTTTCTTTGTGCATCCAGGTGTTTCAGCCTCTGTTAAGATATTTTCATCATAGTACAGATGTTCATGTCGGAGGTTTGTATTTTTCCTTCATGTATTTCGGGCTTATAGTATGATTGCTAATGATGTAATTGTTAAATCCTTTGGTACCATCTAGAAGGAGCTGAGTCAGTGGGGGTGGTCATGGATAAACATCCTGTTTATACATATCCGAAATTCACATGAAGAGGAAAGAAATGATTAATGGATTCGACTGAGCTTGGACTAATTTAGACTCTGTTCTTTCCCCAAAAGCAATATAAACAAACACCCGAAGACTCATTTACATACTGTGGGATGGGGGTGGGAAGAGGGTTTCAATTCAAATTTTGGTTAGAAAAGTTAACGTCCGTGGGTCACGGAGTCAGGGTGATGGATTCACTGAGTCTGTGGAAGAGTTGTTTGAGTATAGGCCTTAATGATGACAGACAAGAGAAAGCATCCAACTGGACAGTCCAACATATATCACATAATACAGCAAGGGGGATTTCTTCTTATTCACATGAATTTGTTGTTTGGCCAACACTGAGACCAGCAACTGATTGAAAGGGCAATCATTCAGCTCTGTGATTGAACAGTGATTGATGCCATGAACAGTAAATCATTCCATAGCCTGCAACCCATTTTAAAATGTTCGTACAAATGCACAGCGCAGCCATTAAAACAGATGGTGCATGAAATGAAGTTCCTAAAGGCAGAGAGGGGACGGGGCAACTTTTTTGGCAGATGGGCAACATTGCCAAAGAAGTTTTCTCCTTCATAGTTGCAATGAGGTCCTTACCGGCAGGATGCATTTGAGTTGCTGTTTTAACTGTACGTCACAGGTTTTATTTGAGTTGATCTGATAAAACATAGCAGCACTTTGATAGGGAAATAAAACAAAAGAACTCTAGATTTAGCGTTTAAAACACTACAAACCAAGCAGAGCAAACAAAACAGAAGCTCAAAATGACAAGAGGATGTCACAGCTGGATTAGAACACTGAGCAGGAAAAAACAAGGAGAAGCGTATCAGGTGACAGCGTGTCGCTCACAATTAAAGACTGTCCTCCACTGCCCTCATCACCCCAGTGTTTCTGAGATAAAAACCACCACAAAAAAGTAATTTAACATCATCAATCCCACCTTTCTGCTCTCCTTCAACACCTCTGCTCTGTTAGATACAGCAACAGACTTTGTGGCTTAATGCGGTTCAGGTCAGATCTGTTTGCTGACCCTTGTTTGTGTGTGTGTGTGTGTGTGTGTGTGTGTGTGTGTGTGTGAGGGGAGCTCATGAGGGGCTTTATGTGGCATTTTGGACTTGCCAATAATCTTGTGTGCTTTGGAAGTTGTGTGGGTTGAGGTTCTTGGTTCACACAAAGATGAATGAAAGCCACTGTGCCGGATAATGAAAGAAGAGAAGTCTGGCGCGGAGATTGATATACAGCGAGCCAGAGAGAAATGATAGTGGCCTTTCACCCGATAGTAAGAGCCTGCATCAACATTGTTATGGGCTATATTTCATCTCTCTCTCTCTCTCTCTCTCTGTGTGTGTGTGTCTGTATGTGTGCCTAGATCACCAACATGGAGGATGATCCTAACTGGTACACAGCTGAGCTCCACAACAAAAAAGGCTTTGTGCCAAAAAACTACATCAACCTGCGACCACACGCGTAAGTATACACACATACACGCCGCTTCAACTCATCTGTAAAGCAGATGAATACATTTCACACGTTCACCACTGGTCTACCTAAACAACTCATCAGTGAGTGTGTGCAGCTCGGGGGCGTTTTCTGCTCTGCTCTGGACATCTGCACTCCAGCATAAGGCAGCCTACCCAAAGGGACACACTCACTCGCTGCCTTACGTAATCACACATGATACAGCCTTGTGTGTTTACAGTGAAGCTGCTGGCACACCCTGTATCTCCATCAGATGGTCATACACCAGCCTGGGTTCTACTTTTTTTGCTGTGACAAAATCCTTAACTGACAACACAGCCATTAGAGCGGCTCTGGCTCTTAATGAACACTGACACGCGGTCCAGCTGGAGCTGCCTAGTTAAGTTTATGCGCACCGTAGGGGGATGTGTATTCTGTTGGGTCTATGAGTGTTTTTTCCCTCCTCCACATTAGAGCAGTTTGTTTGGATGCAAAGTTCGCACAAATGACTTCTGCTCTCACGAACCTGAGCTCTGCAACGACAGACAGAGCCATGACTCAAATGAGGAGAGAGCAGATCCAGTACCGTGGCCACATTGTAGGACCCTCTTTGTTAAATGGACAGTTCACCCCAAATCAAAAACTCATAGTTTTCCTCTTACCTGTAGTGCTATTTATGCTTCTCGCTTGCATCCGCGTGAGCTGCCAAGTTCTGGAGATATCAGCCAAAGAGGTGTCTGCCTTCTCTCAAATATAATGGAACCAGATGGCACTCGGCTTGTGGTGCTCAAAGTGCCAAAAAAATACATTTGAAAAACTCAACAGCAATGTCCCTTTCCAGAAATCATGACCCAGTTACACCCAATCCTAATGATATAACCCACAGAACTTGTTATGAGCATTTTCATGGAGTAGAAAAGAGGAAAAGAAAATAGTTCCTGCAACTCAACTAGACTGATAAATAGCGCTACAGGTCAGAGGAAAAATATGTTAATTGTGTGGTGAACTGTCTCTTTAAGGTCTTAGGTCACAGGGTCAAAATTCTGGGATTTTATTTCAAGGCTCTTTGAAGAAAAAAACCCAGAATACTCACCCTAAGACCTTAACCGAGAGTCTCACCATATTGGATCTGCTCTCTTGTTGTTTGTGTCATGGAACTGACTGTCTGTCGTTGCAGAGCACAGGTTCATGAAAGCAGAAGTCATTTATGCAGACCTTGCATCCAAACAAACTGCTCCACTAAGCAAGACTAATGAGCACAAAACAAAAAAAAAAGAAATGAAAAATTATACTATTACTTACGCTCCACAGCTGACAACTGCAGCATTTTGGGATTTGATATGCGTGCATATTTAGCAGCGTGTTCAAAAATAACTTCACAAATGTGCTAATTTTACTTTTTTCCCCCCTGACCCCCCACAACATCTCTTTTCTTTTTTCATCGTCAGCATTGATCTGCACTGCTGTGAGCTGCCTTTTTTTCCCAAACTTCATCAAACACCACCGAAAATACAAACGTCAAAAGTTATTAGACAGCCAAACAAATAAGTCCATGTGTGCAAAGTTGTATTGTAGCTGCACAGACCCCAGAACAGTTCACCTGCATAAAACAGTAACATGAGCGATCTCTTTCTTTATTTCTTACTTGCTTCTCCTTTTATTTTTCTTCCTCCAGCTGGTTCGCTGGCCGTATATCTCGCGGTGTGGCAGAAAGTCGACTCAGGCACAGGGAGTGTGGGGCTTTTCTGGTCAGAGAGAGTGAGAGCGCCCCGGGCGAGTTCTCCATGTCTGTCAGGTAGGAGATAAAGGATCATTCAAGGATCCATATTTTGCCCATGCATGCTTATGTCTGAGAGTTGATTTGTACATATACACCACTTTGATCTATGTATTCTTTTTTATCAGGGATCCAAGCAGTACTGGAGCCCTATTGTTTCCGTTTTTGTTATTCTTTTTTTTACTTTCTTTCGTTTTCTTTTTTTCTTTCTTACTTATTTTAATGCAACAAAAACCGTAAGACCAAAAGTCACCAAAATGGTCAGGCAGACTGCAAATTCCACCCACTACACAGGCAGCTAAAATGACACTCACTGACCTCAAGGTGATGCTGTAACAATCAAGTTTAAGTTTTTTTGCAAATTATCCCAAAAAGGGCTTGGCTTTCGTTCTTTTATTCTGTCAGTTCATCTGCATGTTTGCTCCAATGCTCTCAAAATGTAAAAAACTTTTTACTCAGTTCTCTAAGAACTAGTCAGAAGCTGTCAGGCCAATCATCCTGAAAGTCAGAATCATCTACGGACTTTGCTGATCAAAGCGTCTTTGAGTTCAATTTTACATACGCGCTCATTAATCGTAATTGGCTTACACTACTGAAACCAAACTTGGTGCGCATGTTTGGATGCCAGGTCTGAGGTTCGCTGCATGGTCTTGAGATAAACAAGGGGTTTTCCCCAGTGTAAAAAGTTTTTCATGTATTCTCACGAAATCTTGTTTGCATGATTTAAGGTCATGACTCAGTTGATGCACAGAAATTGGTAATGATTACTTGAAGTGCCCATTTATAACAAATCAGAATATATCACATTCCAAATTTTTAAAATTCGGACTGAATCACCCGTATGTCCTACAGAGCTGAAATTATTTCCTCACATCCACTAAACTGTGACAGAAGTCAGACCTATCTTCAGTTCATAAGTCCATCACTCTATATTTTGGCCAATGTGGTGATTCATGCATGTGGAAGTTTTCGTTTTTAAAGTGCTTCTTGTCTCAACCTGCTTGCATCCCGATCAGTGCAAATTGCAGCTGTATTTACATGTTATTTCTATTCTCCATGTATCCTCTTATTACTGCAACAGCCCTGTTTCTCCACAGGGTTTCATTCCATCTCTTGGAATCTAATTCACTTAGCAGATCTATGTAAACATATACTGTATAAAGGGATGTGTGCATCCTTGCATACAGTATATGTTTACATTGCAGCATTGCCGTCCCCTGTTGTCATTAATAAAATTCTGAGCGTGTGCGTGCGTGAGTGTCTGTGCATGTGGTGTTTATGTTGGTGGCAGGGGATCAGAGGAGCAGGCAGAGGAGGGTAAACAGGATAAGTTGCAGGATGGAGGGAGAGGGAGGATCTGCAACCCCTCTGGCCTGATGTGAGCTAATCCTGTCTGGCACACCGCGGCATCTGGAGCTGCCGATGGCGCCCGAACGGTGGTCTTGCCGGCGGGATGGCGGTCAAGGAAGTAGCTGAGGCTTGGCATCGTGCTCCTTGGGGCTGTGTGGATATTGGAGGTGGAGATTCGGGGTGTGTAGGGGTTTGGGAGACTGCATTTTTGCGGTAATGACTTGGAAATAAGGGTTGGCTCTACTCCGGGCTGCTGGGGCTGTAAGACGAACTGGCATCAGTTCAAGGGGTTACAAGTTGGATTTGTGGGTTGTTTTGCAGTTGGTTCTGACAATGTCTGGGAAGGATATCTCTCTCCCAGTGGATTTAGGACAGACTTTTGGAAGCATTATACAGGAAAGCAGAGGGAAAGTAAGTTGTCTGCATTAAGGGAATTGGAAGGGAAAATTGGAGGGAAGGAGGAGAAGCTGTGTTTGCCAAGAGGGGACAGAGAGGATTTTTGATGCTACTTGCTTTTTTGGCTGTCTGTTGATGTCTCTCTAGCTGTTGTTGCTGGATGGCTTGGAAATTGGGTCAGGTGTTTGCGTGAGTGTGTGGGTTTGTGTGTGTGCGTGTGTGGTCCTCGCAGTGCTGACAGCTCCCCTGTCAGAGGAGACGTCCTGACAGCAGTAACTGTGAGAACTTCAGTCCCGGCTCAGCTCGGTCCAGCTTTGACGTCAGACCGTGAAAATCTGATCCGCTTTCGCAGCCACAAATGGAGCCAGAAAATATACAGGAAAACTACTGGTGAAGTTATCAGTTAGTCAAAATAGCTATGTGTAATGTGACAGTTTGATGATACATTGACACTATGGGTCTGTTACACTTCCAGCTATTATTAGCTGGATAATTTGGTTGGGATGAAAGGTAATTGTCACTTTAAAGTCAAAGAGATGCAACATGAGTCATTTTCTTTACACCTTAGTCACCATGAAAGTATGTCATGGTGTTAAAGGTCTGACGAAAGTTGTTGCGTGTGACACCTTATTGTGGTGATAAAACAGAATTATTGTCATAAAAAGTCTGCCCCATTTCCCTTTTTGTGTTTTAATTGGTTCTAGTGTTGCATTTATCAGGCTTCATTTCCAGCACAAAATACAATAACAACATTTTAATTAACCATCAGAAAGCAGTTACTGGGTTATTGAACGTTGCAGCCTTGTTTATCATTTCAGTGCATTCGTATTATGAAAAATGCACACTGGGGACAGGGTTTTACAAATAAAGCCATGACTGCAAGCCCCCCACTAACCAGAAAATTGTGACAACGCAATTTTCAGATAATCAACAGGTTTGAAATGGTTAATTGGGCCAAAGAAATAGGAAAAAAGAACCCTTGATCCCTGACTTTAGTCACCAAAATTGAAGATGTATTTCCATTGGACAGTGGTTAAACTATGGCAAGAAAGCAATAACTCCTTTATTTTTGTATTTGTATGTCAGAATATATTGAATGGTAAAGTAATACTGGAACTAACCTATAAAATATCCACCAATGATTGCAAACTTCCCACCGGTCTCTAAAACATCCAGAAAATATAACACAGACGTGACCCCAGTGTCCTCAATAGTGGTTCTGACTGGGGACCTTTCAGGTGATCAATCTTTATTGGAAAATCACTCATGAAAGCTTAATGTGGACTGAATTGGAGATTTATTGTCCGCAGACAGAATAGAGGGCTGACTTAGTTTTTGTTCAGAATACTTTTTGAAAGGTGGTTATGAGAGAATATGTGGCCGGGGACTAGCTTCAGACTAAGCAAGTGAAACTGTCCCAATGGGTTATTTAGTAGCTTATTTTTGGAAAATGGAGCAAAGTGATGCCAACCTAGACTTTTATAGAGAGGGGTGAGGAATCCATTTTGCTTAGCTGGGCTTTCACAGTGTTCTTTGACTCAGCAGCGGATTCACCCAAAGGATATGTTTTTCTGGGTCTTCCTCAATGCTTTATTATGGTGCATTCCTGGTTCCATTCTTTTTGGTGTTTTTCAAACTCTTTCCGAGAAAGGACACGGCTTCTCACTTCCTTGTTCATGCTCTGCCACAATCACTATCAATATCAGTCTTTCCACCTACACGTACAAGTCACAGCTGAATATAACAACCTGTTTACAGTCTCTATGAGTCATCACACTCTAGGAAATCAGGCAAAACACTGAGAGAAAAGTGGATATACCAGAGAATTACAAGAATTACTCATCTATATATAACTCATCTTTAATTATTTTAGATGTCCATTCAAGGGCTTGAGGTACCTTTACTTTCTAAAACAGTATCACATATATGTGTGTATATATATATATATTTATATCTATAGTTTTGTTCAGTCAAAGTGTAAGAGCAGACGTCACTTTCTTTCTAAATTGCCTGATGTCTCGCTGTATGATAGAGCTCAAGGCTGTTTCACCACAGCCCTCTTTGTGCTTTTGACAATTTTTTTTTTAAACTGTATGGTGGTCAGCCCACACACACACACACACACACACACACACACAAAATGTTGTTGACAGACATTTAGTTCAGGCAAACCAAACTATAGTGTTAAAGCAAAGACAATGGCTTTTGTTCTACATGACCTTCACCTGATCACAGAGAAAACGATTGTGGAAGTGTGAGTGTGTGTGTGTGTGTGTGTGTGTGTGTGTGTGTGTGTGTGTGTGTGTGTGTGTGTGTACGTGCAGTCACTCTTGTTCTTCCGGCATTTGAAGCAAGGAGTCTTTCCGTAAGATTATCATTGTTGAAAAGTAGCAACAATAAGTGAGTCTTGCACTTTATTCCAGCGTGATGACACAGTGTGTAACAATACTATCAAAGCAGATACATTTGGCCTTATGTTCAGCCTCAGTGAATTCGCATTGTGAACAACAAACAACACTTTAAAGGGGGTATAATGTTGCCTAGTGACATACTGTAAACCTGCTGGCTGAAATTGCTTGCACATGCCCATATGCTTCTGATGGCTCACACAGCAAGCGCTGAATCAGAAAGACCATTCAGCTTCCTTGTCGTCAGTCATCATCAGTCTCTAATCAGGGTCATGAATCTATAAAGAGACCTGACCCTTTGGGCTACGTTTATTTTACAGCTACATAATCTTCTTCGGGCTTTAAGTAACACACTGCGGGTTCAGCATCCCATGAATGTCATCACTTCCTTATTTTAGTTGGACAAATTAATGCAAGTGGAGAAAATGTGACAGAAGAATTGCATAACAGAGGCAAGAATGAGTTGGTCAACTTATACAACACCGTGTTAGAATAAATACGTTGTTCTGCCAGCAATTAGCTTCATATTCTTCAGGTGTAAATACCCACTGTTTATAAATAGTTTGATATTTTGGGGAAATATCAAACTATTGTTGGGGAAAATATTGCAGAGAGTTCAATGAGTTAGACTCTCTATAAACATGAAGCTAGACTGCAGTTAGGTTAGCTCAGCATACAGACTGGAAACAGGGGGAAACAAGCCTGGCTCAAATCAAACGCTCTTAAGCTCAATAATTAACATGTCATACCTTGCTTGTTACATTTGGACGGAGCCAGGAGATGTTTCCAGTCTTTGTGCTAAGCTAAGCTGCTGGCTGTAGCTTCATACTCAGCGTACAAACTGAATGAAATGAGTGGTAGTGG